CAAAATTATCTCTCGTATAGACGATAAGCGCGAGGTTTCGCAAAAATATCGGAGAATTTTTGCGTAATAAATATGTCTACTTTTTTGCTGCGCCGTGGCGCAACCGCAACGCGAGAAACGATAATTAATTTCCTGCACCGGATTTTACAATTTACTCAGCTTTTTTCCATTCGCCGTATTAATTGTTACGCCCCGATGATCGCCGGTAATGAAAGAAATCTCTCTCTCTCTCCTTCTGTACGAGGTATAAAATTGTAGAATACCGCGCATACGGCATTTAACTGGATTATTCCCACGCGCTATATTTCCTGAAATGATTACCGGATAATCTCGACGAGAGAGGTGGTGATATCATCAAATTAATTATGTCTTATTCGATAGACTTAATGCTGCGCCCGTACATTATTTAATTGCGCGATAATCGCATTCTCTATTGTTTCGTTGTATGCAAATATCACTCGGTCAAGTATTGTTTATTAAAACCGAAGAAAGTAGTTTGCCGCCTACGCGACTTATATACAGTGAACGGGAACGCGCGGCGAATTTTATTGCGCGCGCGTCCGCGTCCGGTGTGATCTTTAAACGAGACGGAGAAAACTTTTGCGTGGTCGACGCGAAGCGACGACGGTGGGTGTCCAGTCGTTTCAGGAAAAAAGAAATGACGCGGTAAAAGATTTTCCGCCGAGCCCGCCCGTGCGGCATAGAACACCGCGCGAATAAGTGGGCATGTATATAGGCACCACCTGTTACCTCGGAAGCGAAACCGGCGGCGCGTTCCAATTAGGGGAATGAGCCTCCTCCTTTTATCGCCGTTTCTCGCGCGCGGCGCGGAACGAACGGGGGGGGGAGGAGGAGGGGGAGGGACGGCAAAGAGGGAGGGAGGAAAACCGCGAATAAACATTCTCCCCCTCATATCTCATTTCACGGGGGCACGATAAAGCGCGCCTCGACGCCGCGATGGCCTCGGCGAGCGCGCCCCTGCATTCGCAAAAGGCCGAGGAGAGCGGCGCTTCCTCCTCTGCGGTTACCTGGAGAAGAAAAAAGGAGTCAAGCCGCAACCGCGGAGATCGTAAATTAAAACGCTGGAGGATGGATGCCTATACACAGTTGCCCTTTTCATTTCCTGCCTGCCTCCTCCTGCTGCAGCAGTAGCGCCTATTGATCCCGACCTAGTTGCTTCAAAGGAGAGAAAATTATTGAAAAAGCCGACTCTTTCCCTCGATGGAGTGCGCAAATAAAACGCGGATCGATCGTGAGAACGACTAATGCAATTTTCTTCGGGGATTACGCGAGGAGAGCAAGAAATAAGATCGGGAGCGTCTCGACGAGTTCAAAAATTATCAGACAGAAAGTGACGCACGCTCGGGGTAACAATTTATATACCATATATAAGATGCAACAATTGCGAGATTTCTCATACGTGATTTTATGTAAGTCGCATATAATTTTTAAGAACTTCTCGCGACGAAGAAAACCCAGGATTCCGTCGATTGTGCCGAAATTCCAGAAATGAGCTGTTCATTTCGTGGAGTTAATTCTCAATAAATATTCGTGACCATTTGCAAATTCAGTCGAGTGAGGTCGCGTTCCCCTCCGAAGAGTAGTCTCGCATTGCTGCAGCTGCATTTATGCAGGGGTGAATATATTATTTCGCGTAATGGCATGCATGATAAACATGCAGCGAGACAAAAAAATATTCCTAACGAAAGATACATATTTTTCGGAAACGTCATTAAATCGTAAAATTATTAAAAAAGAAACAATAACAGAAAATTTGCAAGTTAGATTTCTGCCAATTTCGTTGTCTCTCTTTTTAGGATATTTCGCACACATGTCAGGTATATATTAAAAAGCTTCACAACCGAGCAAAAAGAAACACGTGAGGTCAATCCTCCAATTCCTTTTTTTTCCTTTTTTTAACGACTAATCGTTTGAACTCCCTTCGGATCTCTTTGTAGTATAAAGCCGAAAGCTCCATTAGTTACATCGGAATTCTAAAAATGGACCGTTTGACGTCACACAGAGAAAAATTGATTCGGGGTATCTGCATGACGGGTACTTCCGCCAAAAGTGCACCCTACGAAAACTTCCGGCCAGCCGGTCGGTCGCCCCTTGAAAACCGATCAATCGCCCCGAATGTTTTGTCACGGTGACGCACGTGGAGACTGCTTACGTGTCTCCCGCCAGCGGAGTCAAGTGAAAAGTTCGGGGGTCGCGGGATAAGCAAGAGACATTTTTCAACCGAACTCGCTGCTCGAAACTTGTGCCAAATACTGATTCATTCAGGGGGGGGGGGGATACAATTGAATAAACTTAACATCCGTCACTTGTTTATTTTGAGAATATTTACTGCGAATTATGGCGATTAATTCTCCTATAGAAGGGATCCTTTTTTAGCACGGAGAGAATTTCCTTTTAAAATTTATCCTGAAAATCATGTTAATCGTGGAACAACTTAATACCTCGATAAATTTTACTGTGCCCTACATTAAATTTGTTGCAGTATATGTTAAAAAAATATAAAATCATATCAAATTCATCGAAATACTATATGTTGTCCTACGATTAATATGATTTTTTAAGGGTAAATTTTAAAATAAAATTCTCTCCGTGTACGATATTTTTTCGTGTAGACACAGCACAGGTCGAACGTGGCGTATATCACCTCCAAAGCGCCGCGTTGGAAAGCGGACTTTCTATCGATATACAGAAAATACACGGTGCACACCGAATTATATGGCTTTCATGGTTATGGCTCTTGATTAATTGCGGATTATTTTCTCCTTGCTCATCATTTCGCGCAATAACCACGAAAGCAGGATGTACGCGGGATGTTCCAGATAATTCTTTCCTGCTTTCCTTCAACTCGGGTTCCTTCTTCCATTTTACCTCAGCCGGAAAATTTAATAGGACACCTAATTACACATGAGCATATCTAAAGATATTATCGATGGATTGTGTAACGAGCTGTTACGAGTGTTACGTATTATAAATTGCATTATCGTTTGAGGTGAACGTTTCTGCGTTTCCGGTTATATATATATATATATATATAGTTACGAGAAAAATGTGCAGGAAGACTCCTAGAAGACGCTCTATAAATATCAAGAAAATATATGCGTTTTCTATTCCTTGCTGGAATTCCAGATAGAAGAAACCTTAACTTCTCGATTTCATTTGAACAGATAAAAGTGAGAGATAAAAAAAGATAATTTTCGACACGACTTCGAAAAAAAAATTTTTTTTTTGGAGCCGTCGATATCGTTACCAAACGCGTCCACGTCGATGCCTGGGTACCTCGGTTCCTTGATCCACGAAGACACGTTGCTATTTTTAAACCGAGATTTCATTGGAGGTCGCGCATCGGGTATTGATCGTCGGGAATTATAACTCATTGAAGTCGCGCGGCCGAAACCTAAAGCGGGCCGAGCTGAATCCTGGACAATCTCCAACATGCTGTTTCTGTTCGCTACTTACTGCACACACGCGAAAAGGGACGACGACGTTGCCCGAAATATTAAAGTAGGCCAGAAGGCGGACGGATTATCGAATTGCACGACGTTCGCCTAGTGCAATCTGTCTCGCCCCATCTTTTCCGCCAGTCATCGCCGAGTAATCGAGTAACATAATACTGACGACTTCGAGGAAGTCGTAAATGGAAGATGGAAAACATCGGGCAGATCGTAAAGTATACGGCGCGAAAAATTATCACCTCGTACATGTCGTATAATTGCAAGCGGAGAAACACAGACATTCTCGCATTTATCGTTTAAGAAACTCGCGCGTTGACGTTCCTCTGAAATTTTATTAGTGGATAATTTCAACGTTGATTAACAGCACGCGGAAAGGGGGGCAATGTATTATAAAATTATGCGTTGCTTAAATACGTTAAATAAATTAAATATTATTGCGCGCGGAAATAAGAAAATATTATTTTACGTGACGCGAGAGAAGACGTGTTGAAACTCTCTCTCTCTCTCTCTCTCTCTCTCTCTCGCTCTCTCTCTCGCGTTGACGAGATGGACGTGCGCTGCTGCTTTTCAGCGCGCGATCACGCGCGCGACAGTTAAGTACCGAGGCGCGCGCGCGCGGCCGCGGCGTTGTGATTGAAACGGTATTACGTTCGGACGAACGTGAGGTAAAATTATCGGGCCATCATTACGACACGTTCGCTGCCAGGTGCGCCGTAAACGATACACGCGCCTTACTTTACGTGGGCCACGTGTGCATCATTTACGAACTGGAAGCAGATATAGGTATTCGTGTGTGCGCGCGCGTGTGTAACCGGGGTGCATCCCGTTTCGCCGTTCTATACTGCCTCTTGCGCGCAGAAATTATTAACGAAGCCCGAGCTTTATACGCGAACTTGATCGATTCTCACGAATGAATGTGTCTCGTGTACGTAGTTACGGCCTGACGTCCACGGAAAGAACGATTTTGTTGAAAGATCTAAAAATTTTGCTAAAAATAGATCTGAAAATAATTTTTTGTTGAATCATCAAAATAATTTGTCGGAATGTTAAAACTGATAAGCATTGCTATAAAACGTTTTGATATTCTAGCAATCACTTTGACTTTCGCACAAAATTATTTTGATTATTGAACAAAAATTATTTTCAGATCTGGATTCAGCAAAATTGTTCTTTTCGTGTCGGGTTAGGACACGTTTGAGCTGCGACAGCAAAATTTCCGTAATTCTGTAATTTAAATATTTCAGATTCTATATATTCTAGATATTCCATATTTTGCAACAAATATTCCACCTTTTCCTCTTCAAAATGAACAATTTTTTTTTTTCGAAAAACGAAATTTCTATTTCAATATCGCTCACTATTTTCCAAACAATCAGCCGAAAGAATTTATTTATTATACACCCAGGGTGAAGTATATATATTTCCCAATCTAGCGTGTTATCCATTTAATATAGTACAATTACTAATCGTACAATTTTAAATTGCATCGATTTCAGCAAATTAACGAGATCGTTTTGCGTGTTGCAGGTGATAGATTTTGGTTCCAGCTGCTACGAGAATCAACGGGTATACACCTACATTCAGAGTCGTTTCTACCGCGCGCCGGAAGTGATATTGGGCGCGAGGTACGGGATGCCGATCGACATGTGGAGCCTCGGGTGCATCCTGGCGGAGCTGTTCACCGGTTTTCCGCTGCTGCCAGGCGAGGACGAGGCAGACCAGCTGGCGTGCATCATCGAGATGCTGGGCATGCCGCCGCAGCGGTTGCTGCAAAACTCGAAGCGATCGCGTCAGTTCATCAGCTCGAAGGGCTACCCGAAGTACTGCACCGCGACGGCGATGCCGGACGGCACGACAGTGCTAAGCGGGGGTCTATCGAGACGAGGGAAGCTGCGCGGTCCGCCGGGCTCGCACGATCTCGAGCGCGCCCTCAAGGGCTGCGACGACGTGCTGTTTTTGGACTTTCTCAGGCGATGCCTCGTTTGGGAGCCGGAGTGCCGGATGACACCGAACAAGGCGCTGAGGCATCCGTGGCTGCGCCGCCGATTACCGAGGCCACCGGGTGCAGACAAGAACGACACGCTGCCGGCGGTGACGTCGGCGCAACCCCCGACCACCGGCGGCGGCGGGCCCAACCTGAGAACTTCCGCGTCCGGCAGCAGGAGCTCCAGCAAGACTAATAGTATGCAGAGTAGCAATAACACCAGCGAGGACATCGCGACCAGCAAGACGACGGGCCAGCAGACGAGGGGGAACCGCTTGGTGGAGGACATGGTGTCGGCTTACGCGGGTTACTCGTACACCACGTCCCAATTGCACGGCGGTACTTGGGGCACAACGGGGGGATTGAGCAGCGGCCACCAGTCGCTGAACTCCATCACCGGTGGGGCCGGCGGCGGCGGCGGCGGTGGCGGCGGTGGCGGCGGCGGCAGGAGTTCCTCCAGCAAGACCAACAGTCTGCAGGGCGGCAATAACTGCACCAGTGATGACATCACCGCGAGCAAGACGACGGGTCAGCAGAGGGGAAACCGTCTGGTCGACGACGTGGTGTCCGCTTACGCGGGCTACTCGTCGGCCTACGGCGCGTCCCAGCTGCACGGCGGCACTTGGGGCGCCACGACGGGGGGACTGAATAGCGGCCACCAGTCGCTCAATTCCGTCAGCAGCAGGAGCTCCAGCAAGACGAACAATCAGTTGCAGAGCGGTAACAATGCGAGCGGTGACATTCCCGTGAGCAAGACCGAGCGTCAGCAGCAGAGGGAGCGCGCAAGCGAGCTGCCGGTGACGATCTTCGATCCCTACCCGCTCGGGTCTTACCTGTCCGAGTCCCAGCTGCACAGCAGCCACCGATCGAACCAGAGTAGCAGTCATCAGTCGCTCAATTCCGTCGACGGCGCGACGACCGGCAAGTCGCAGCGCGCTCGGACGCACCAGACGCAACAGCAGCACAATAACAATGGCGCGTCGCACGACAATTACGGCTCCCACGGCTCCTCGAGTAGCTCCAGCCGTTTGGTGCTCTCGTTCCAACCGGGGATCCAGGAGATCCTCGAGGAGTTGAGGCGATAGGCCAAGACGCGACGCCGGGCGCCCTTTTCTCCTTCCTTCGACGCGCTCGTTCGCTCGCTGCCGTTCTAGGCATTGCCACTGGCGAGCGTTCACTTCGCTCGCTTCACGAAACGATCTCGCGGTTTCCTCGCAGACGGAAGGGAAAGCGGGTAACGTAAAAAGATAAGGATGATCCGATCCCGATCACCTAACGTGAAACTCCGGCTGTGTCTCGCTGCCTGCCGTTCGGGCGACGTCCGACGTAGCGTCGAGGAGGGTTACTTGCGGTCAAAAGGGTGGGTAGCTGTCACATCCATCGATCTCGGTTACTTCGCTGTGATTCACGCGCGTCGCGTTTCTACGGTCGCCGCGGCTGGCTGCGAATGAGGTTCTAATGCGAGCCAGTTATAATTTGGTGAAAAGAGGTGAAATTCTATTTTCTATGAAATGCGCCGCTTCGTAGATTGGGAGAAGGGAGATGTTCCTTCTCTTAAAAAAGCGAGCATTGGACCTTATCGATGAAATTAACATTATCCGAGAAAGATTGCGCAGTTCAAAGAAAAAAAAAAAAAACGATTGAGCGATACAGACATTGGACTCCGAATATTACAGAAACATTAATTTAGATAGTGTTATTCCTGCGTTGTCACCAATATTGGAATTATTCAAGAAAAAACAACAGATATAATTATTTTGATAAGTTAAAATTATCAAATTCATGTCCGTTTGCGATATTTCTTTGGTTTGCTAGTGTATGAAAATATTCCTCTTGAATTATTTGGCGTATCAAGAAATCGAAAGGCTATAAAAGAAGACGATATGTCGAAGAAAGATTTTCGTGGATTCGCCACTTGTGTTTATAATAACTGGTTTCGCGCCTCACGGCTAGCCTGGCGCTACAAGGTTGCTCGGTTATATCCACGAAATGGTATCTTCAGCCCACGGCGACGTCGCCCCGCGTTGCTCTCTGGTCCGCTCCGGGATTCAATCCCGCTGACATTATACCTCCGCTGCGCCATGAAAATACGCGGTCGGTATGCTTCTCGGCGAGAGGCGAATTTTTCCGTGTGACGACAATATCTTAAGAATTCTAGCAAAACGTCAGAAATCCTTGTAGATAAGAGTATGAAACGATTCGATACGCGATTGTGCGTCTCCAAGACATTCGTCTTTTGCGAAATATACAATTGTGGACTCAAAGGGATCTCTTTCTTCCTTCAACGAGTCTCGAAACGCGCCGGAAATTTGCGAGGACGATCTCTCGACACTCGATATACGACGCCAACACTGTACGAGGCACTCATTCATCGCTCGGTTGTGCTTTGCCCTTTGTAAAATTAGACTTTACATTTTATCCCGAAACGACGAAACGAAATGAAGCATGAAATCCAATTTTTCGAAGAACGCGTCAAGTCCGTGTAACAAATCGAACGCAGTTGACGGGACGGAGAGTAAGTGCAAAGCACTTGTGCAAATGTTAACCGTCAGATTTGTCGCGATGCATAATAGTCATTTGTTCCGCCTCATCGGCGCGACGTATTTTCTCCCCGCGACACGCAATCGATTTCACCCGGAGATAAGGCGGTGTTGGACTGACGAACGCAAACAGAAGTCAGCTGGCTTCAAACGAAATCGTCGATTGTCTTAACATTCACATGAGTCTCTCGGTTCGCGAAATTATGAATTAATGCACGGTCGTCTTTCGCGAGTCGCGCGCGAGAGTCGTTGCGGGCGACCTGGAGGTCATTGTGCCAAGGGAAGCCCGGGGAAACCGCGACGGCTCGATAAGTCGTGTACGTGAGGCAGCACGTCAGATGTATCGTCGTGTCGCGATGTCGTCGACGACGACGACGGCGGCGGCCGGCAGTAGCAATTCGCTCGCCATAGACGCGACGAAGAAGCGCACGACTGAATGGAATAGTTTACCGTTGCTCATAAAGACGCGCCGTCGTCTCTGTGATCCGAAAGAAAATACATCCGAGATGCATTTTTCCCGTTCATCAATACGTCCCGATTCGTTGCACGTACTTGGCAAAAGCGCTTGGATTCTCGCTTGAAATTGCTGTCGCGCTTAGATCGATCAAATCGAATCGTTCACGAGGAAGAACATTGTACAAATGTGACGATGCGATTTTGTACAGTTTTGTAGTTTTTACAAATTTTTTTTTGTTGTAATTTCGTTTTGTAAATTCTTTTGTATCGTATGTGTTTAGATTATTTGTATTTGCTTTAGATATTAGTGTTTGCCGATTAGAACGGGTTCCGTTAAGAAATTATTATTTCAGCTGCATCTCATTCGATCATTGAAATGGAGCGAAAAAATATTTTTTTAAATGCTTTTGACGACACGAGCTTTTAATTATTGTAATTAATTATGCATTTTATTATCTTTTTTTTTTGCTATTATAATTAAAGATCTTATGCGGCTCTTTGTAGGAGATAGATACGAGGAGGTGCTGCCTCCCTCTGCATCAAATTGCTCATTACACGAATCCATTAGTGATGAATTATGAACACTCATTACACGGTTTCAACCGAACTCAGAAGTTCAGTCAATTCTGAAGCGGAAATTTTGATTGAATGCGAGTTTCCCGGCGTTTTTCCCCCCCGGTTCACCGCCGCGCGGGAAAACGCCGGGAAAATATCGTACCTGGCGCGTTGTATCCTCTCGTGCATTATTTTACGACGCTCCAGCGTTTAATCCGATGCGATGAACGGCGCGCGACGGGAAGAATCGCGCCCGCGTTTATTAACTTCTGGCTTCTTCTGGGCTAACTGGGTTAATTCCCCCCTCGTGCATTCTCGGTGCCCATTATTCGCGGCTGCGTATAACGTTTAATCGGCAGGAACGAAAACGCCCCGCGTCCAGTTGCGGCTTTCTACATCCAGCGCGGTTCTCGCTCGGGGAGATATGACAGTCGCGTTTTTCACGCATCATCATCCGCCCTTTGGTTGCATCCCTCCTTCTCCCGCGAGACGGTATGTACGGTTAGTTCTTATACGGACCGCGCGTCTTATACGCGTAGCGAGAAATCCGGTTTAAAGGATCACACACGACAAAGACCCCGCATGGCCGAAAATAAAAGAGACTTTCCCGTGCTCTCACCGCGGGGTGAACGACTCGACTGTCCTGCGGCCGCTTTGGTTCCGCGTTATTATCGGATACCTCGTAGATCCTGCCATGAATGGACGGCTTTTATATGTGGAAAACTCGGAAACAGACTTTTTTTTTTACAATCTTCGAAGAAAGGAACGCGATAGTGTTCACGCGATGCGAACCAATTTTTATATAAAAGCTGCTCAAGTACACTCGCAGCATCAATTGACGTGTCGGTTATCCATTAGAAATTAGAAACTGTAAATTGTTAAACTGTATAAATTTTTTTTACAATTTTTAAAGAATCGAAACGATACAGTATTTACGTAATGTGAGTCAATTTCTATGTAAAAGCCGCTCAAGTACACTCGTAGCATCAATTATCACGTATCAATTATCCATTAGAGATTGTAAATTGTAAACCGTACGAATTGAGAACATTTTAATTAATTATTAATTTAAGAAACAAACGATTTTATGTATTTTAATGTATTGTTTTCGACAACGATTGTCTCGTGGATATTTTAGAAGCATGTCAGAAACAAAACGCATTTCACTATACATAACTCTTTTCGGGAATCGAGAAGAAATTTTGCGAATGTTTATTTATTTATACGAGAGAAAGTCTGTACGAAAAAAAAAAAAAAAAATAGAAAACTCTTATCAAGCCGGTAAGCGATCTCTTATTATGTAATTTCATTCAAGTGCAAATATATTATTGGTCGCAGTACAGAAATCATTAACATGCATCACTTCCTCGCTACATATGCCATCCATCGTTAAACGCTAATGCGCTCTAATTACCACTTCCTGTCTTGCCGTTGTCACCAATTTTTCCCGAGCTATTTCAAGCTTTACTTTGTGCCCGGTGCTCTAATAATCGCCGGGGCGATCTTGTTCACCAAGAACAGCTCTTTCGGAACACGAGCGCGGTCCGCGAACAATGCGCTCGGCCGATGACTCTGGCGCGATGCGAAATCGCTAAATTTAGTCGAACAAAATCGCGTGCGCGCGCGGGGGACGGGCAGCCGTAAGAGCCGAGCGTGGATGAGTGACGAGACGCCGACGACTATGACGACGACGAAGGAGGGAAACGTGTGACGAGAAAAAGAAAACCGAGAGAGAGAGAAGACGTAAAGAGGCGAAAAGGGGCAGCCGGCAACGAGTAGCGGCGAAGTCGATTAAGCTCGAGGGTTGGGGGGGAGGGGATCGGAGCGATCGGCGGATTAAAAAAGAATCGTGATACCGAACGGCATGTCTTTGTGATATGGAACTTATAGGCGTACTGGGATTTATACTAACGAATGTAGATAAAAAAATATATATTATATATGTGTGTAAAAAAAAAAATCACGTACATTATGTTATATCGAGGTGATGAATGAATAATTTGTAAAGCGCGCGATGTAGTTTAATCTCGTCGTCGATGGAGCGCTCGCGAAAGTATCGACGCTCTCTTCTTTTCCTTTGTACGAGGAATACACGAGGTGTAGTACAAGGGACAAGCATCGATGCCCCGCTCTTTCCTCGAAGGCGTCGCCTCTCTTTGAGAAAATATTCTCGTGAATAATATACAATCTTAATTAAATATTAATATTATATTAACATAATACAATTATTAACGTACACACTTAGATCGCAATATAATATTAATATGTAATTATTGATATATATTATAGCATCAGTGGATATACATATATTACTTACGATAAAGTATAAAAGATAAAAGAATCGATCTCTTTTTACCGTCGATACCTGTTCCCTTTTCGGCGAGACCGGAACAGAACGCTGGGTTCTCGAGACAGCTTTCGAGTATAATACAGGTCAGAGATCGAACGCCGGAGAACGCGGGAGACGATCATTGTGACGTGTTGTGACACGAACGGTGGATATTTCGAGCTTGGATTTCTTTTATCCTCTCACC